ATCTTTAACAATAAAGGGTCTTCAACTCTGCAGTTAATGCATATCTGGTAATTCACCATTAAACCTGAAGGTTGGCGCGTAGGCTGCTGGTCACCATAGCAACACAGACAACAATCTCGCCAAGCTAGTAGCTAACAAAAAGGCAAAGAAAGATTTCAGATGATGATCAATAATTTGGAGACGAATGGACTTATTTGCATTTATAATCACTCCAGCTGGTTTCCTGATACGGTTAATCTGCAACAAGAAACTGTCAAACACTAAAAAGTCCCAAGGCTGAAGTCAACTTCTCATTCGCCAGCTTCTTGTTCGAATTTTCAGATAAGGGAGCTGTAGGGTGATGCTGATACATAAACATTTATGAAAAGTAAACTGATCTAAATGCTCTGCTCCTCTAAACACGTAATGAAATGTCAGTCAAATCTAATCATCTGATACTGATCATTTTTTCTAAGCAAATATCTGCTGATACTGATATAATTCTGACATCACTGCATCCCTAAAACTAACTTTTGTAAACTAAAAACATGATAAAGTGATCATATTTGGGAGTGGCAAATTCAGTTAAAAGATGTCTTACTACTCTTAATAAAAATGTTTTTTGAAGCACGCTAGGAGTGTTCTGTAAAAAAAAAAATCCTAAAAACAACAGTGATGTTAGAGGTGCTGAAGCAAAATAAGGGAGAAACATCTGATAAAGATCTGTTAAGAGTCCCAATACAGTTGCAGGATGCAGGATGAGAAGGGGAAACGCTTTAATTTAGCAAAGAGAAATGTCCAAAATGATCTTCCAAACAAAGACAAGCTGTGAACAAGGAGGAACAGTAGTGGGTTGGTAGGTAGGTTTGTTTGTTTATTTGTTTATTTATTTATTAATTTATTGAGAAAGCAAAAAAAAAAGTGGGTTCAAAAAAGTGTCATTTTGACAGGCAGGCCTGCTGATTCACAAAAGCTTCAGAAAGCTGTGTCTTCAAAAAAGACACACAAAAAAAAACCCAGCTGGTTTGAAGTTTCATCTCCACGTAGCAACAGCCTAAACAACCCAGTGACAGTAACCCACACCAGCTCCCTGGCGGAGAATGGCCTCACAGAGCCCCCACAGACAGAGACTTTCCTTCTCCAGAGCTTCACACGGCCACTCTCGGATGCTCAGAGACTGCAGTCGTGGGCTGAATGCTGACCGGATGTATGAGAGCTAGAAAGAAGTGGTTAACAGGCTCCAGATGTGGAAACCCAGCCCAGCCCACCACAGCTGTGGAGACTGTGGGAGACCCCTGGCTTTGATTGTAAAGTGGGTTTTTTTTTTGTCTTCTTCAAATCTTCTCTCTCTCTGCCTACATGGTGCTTTGCCTCTTTGACAGTACACACTTAAAGGGCCCATATCCTACATTTTTCTTGTATTTCATTTTTTCCTTGAGGGCCACGTATAACATCTGTGTACATTTATGTACCATTTCCAGCCTCTTTTCATACCTTTCAATTAAACAGACACTTTGTTACTGTACCTTTAAGACTAATAAATGTAAATGAGCTGTGTTCTGATTGGCTGACCTCTATTGTGCCTCATTCAAAAAGCAGTCCAGGCTGTCCACTACCTATAACTTTATTGTGTGTGGGCATGGCTAAAATGCTGCAAGCTGTACAGGTAGATACACGTATGTGTGTTGATTATCACAAAAACAGTAAATTCTATATATATATATATATATATATATACACACTCTATGGACTGGAGAGTGAATGGTATGTTTGAGACTTTGTGTTTACATAGTTCATCAAATTGTTTTATTCTAAAAAAGTGAAGAAAATTTGATTTTCCATAAAATGGCAAAAAATCAAGGTCCTTAAATGGTTCTATGTCTAGGACAGGGGTCGGCAACACGCGACTCTTTTATTGCCCTGTTGCGGCTCCACAGCAGAATTAGATTTTTAGGTAAAACTAAAATAATCCTCTATTGCAGTAAAATAAAGCTCTGCTGATTGTGCAGACTGCTGGTCATTATAGCAACACAGACAACAGTCTCACCTAGCTAGTACCTAACGAAATGGCAAAGAGAAAGATTTAAGATGAGCATCAATAATTTGGAGATGAATGGATTTCTTTGCATTTATAATCACTCCAGCTGGTTTCCTGATACGTTTAATCTGCAACGAGAAACTGTCAAACACTAAAACGTCACAAAGCTGAAGTCAGCTTCTTGTTCGCCAGCTTCTTGTTCAAATTCTCACGTTCCACCTTAAATGGTGCAGCAGTTACATTCTGGTGCCTGAGCTCCATTTAAGGTGGAACAGGAAAATTCGAACAAGAAGCTGGCGAATGAGAAGCTGACCACAGCCTCGTATCGAATGTTGAAAGACAAGAAACTGTTTCACTTTTGTGGAAAAGTTTCCTGTCGGAGATGCAAGGAAAGCGGCTATAGCTGAGCTAAAGCTTAAAGCAGAGCAAAGTAAGTCTGTGTTTTTGTTTTATTAAATTTGTTAGTCTGTACCAGTATATTAGCACATACTGAGACATATTTACTGCTAAGATGGTAAAATGGATATAAAATGTTGTGGCTCCCAAGGTGGTTTGATTTTTGTTTGAAGGACAAAACGGCTCTTCTTAACATTTGGGTTGCCGACCTCTGGCCTAGAAAAACCTTTATTTGGTATACAACATTTGCATGATGTGGAGATTTTTCACAAAAGCTACTTGACACACACTTCAACAAAACTAGTTCTATAAAAACATCCACTGAAGATTCTTATTTTTTGGCAGCATAAAGTTATTAAACTTTTTAGGAGCTTGAGGAGGAACCAACACTTAAAAACCCATCCAGGGTGCTCTGGATTATAATACAACTTTAACACGTTTACAAATCAGATTAACATTTAGGAGATTACCTAGCTGATGATCTGGATCAGGGTTGTCTCTTTGTAGCTCTGTTTTAAGAACATGCCTGGACTTGTTCTCAACTTTTCCACTAACCATATTTACATAGTGTTTATCCCTCATCCTCTTCATTTGGTTTTAGCTTTAGAGACCTCAGGTCAAACTTATGTTGAACATATGCAAATAACTACACCAAGAAAAACAGGAGAAACCGTTGTTCAAAAGTTCAGAATCATCTGTCATACAGTTGTATGACTGTATGACAGTTTCAATACCCCAGCCAAATAACGTTTTGTAGATTTAAGTAAAAATAAGTGAACACATCCTCTACAGGGAATAAACTGGCATTTTCTGCAAATTTCAGTGAGCAATTTCTTTTTATTTGCATTAGAGAAAAAATATAAAATGTGCCTTATTTTTATCAAGTTAAGTGTCCACTTATTTTCACTGGGCACCCAAACTTTTGCATATGGTTATATTTACAATGTTACTTCATATTCAATAATCATTCATACACTCTGGCTTTAAATATTATATATATTTCTGCAGACAAGATGCTTTTTAAAATGATGAGATATATTATTTAAAATGATGAAATATATCATTAGATTTTTTTCTGCCTTGTTCATAGAATGTAATCCTCAGTGCTGTGCAGCTTGAATGAATGTAATTTCCAAATACTGGTTTTACATCAAACTTTATTTAATGTATGCAGCCTTAAGCACAATCTCTTGCTGCAGTGAGGAAATACAGAATCTAAAAGCTAAACTAAATACAAAACATTTTCCCCATGCAGTAAGAAAAACTGACAGTTACTTGTCATAACAGTGACTGTATGCCTGAGGTAGCACAGGTAGAACATACATGTTGTGCAGCCATGACAAAGAGTAGAAAAAAGAAGCCTGACTTTAGCCAAAAATTTGGAGCGAATTGAGTAAATGCAGTTGTTAAACTTCAGTACACATGAAACATTTAAAGGGCCCATATCCTGAATTTTCATTGTTTTTTCATTTTAACTGGGGTCCACTTACAAACATTTTGCAGTTTTGTACCAAAAATGGTCATAATCCATTTTAACATGACCATTTTCTAACCTCTCATTTTCCCATATATTTGAAAAGGCTGTTTTGTAACTATGCCTTTATGACCGATATATGTAAATGAGCTCCTTCTGATTGGCAGCGGCTCATTAACAATGCAGCCTGAGGCTGAAACACTCCTACACAACTAAAATATGAATGGGCGGGGTAAACTGCTATGGGCTGAACAGGCATATATGTGTAAATGAGTTTGTTCTTGTGACATCACAAAAACAAATTCAAAATGAGCTGTTTTTGTAACACAGTTTCCATATTTAGACTGGGTAGTAAATGGTATGTTATGAATCTTTACCAATGTTTATATATTCCTTCAAACTCCTTTATTTAAAAGAAGAAGAAAAAAAAAAAAAAAAAACAAACAAAAAAAAACCCAAAAAAACCCCCAAAAAAACAAAAAAAAACCAAAAAAAACAAAAAAAACAAAGGTGAGGTGAAATTTAGTTTTCCATGATATGGCCCCTTTGACAAAGCCCAGGATAGCCTTCGAATCAAAAGTTTTTTCAGTATTCATCACAATTTTTACAAATTTTGGAATGGATCATAACCAGAATGTGTAAGTGACCTTAGCATGAGGTAAAACTTTTTTCTTTCTTTCTTCTTTTTTTCCCCTCCAAGCCATAGAAAGGAAACCAATGCTTAACACTAATCTTTCACTCAGTTTTCCTTTAGCCAGAACACCTGAAGGATGGCCGATAGCTTTAAACATTTAAACAGGCACTGAGAGTGATTTTGTTGTTTTCTAGCGAAGCAAGAACAAACTTGTATTTGGTTTCTTTGGACCGCAACACCACTTCTAAGGAGTGCACCTTATCTGTGTGAAGATTACTCAGCTGTTCACAGGTCTCAAGGCCAGGCCAAGCTTTTATTCTATTTCAGCTCACAAAACAACTGACCTACACATTCAGCGTGGCGGTGCTGTATGCGGAGAAGTTTCAAGAGTTGGAATGTGTATATTATATATATATATATATATATATATATATATATATATATATATATATATATATATATATATATATATATATATATATATGACTACCCGAGCTTACGAGACCTGGCCCGAATGGAGTCGCCTGTAGGAACACCCTAATAATTCCTATTTCAGTGCATTAGTCTTCTTCATCCTCGTCGTCACTCAGCACCCGCTGACGTCTGCGCTTAGCAGGGGCTGAACGAGCCTCCTCATCTGAGCCATCGCCGTGCTCTGTGTCCGTATTTATTTTGGAAGGAGAGTCGTCATCTGTGACAGAACAATAAAAACAGCAACAATAACTACATGACAAGAGATGAGTATGAATTCATTTGTCCTAATTACTAGATTCATCAATACATAAAAAATGAGTGTAATACAGAAAGCTGGGAATCAAATCTCAAAAAGAACGGATTTTCTGATTCCAGGCATTTAGGAATCTGAGGTTGACTTCAAAGCTCGAGATGTCACACAGATGTTCACGTTTTCTCACAACCATGCACACACAGTGAGATGGGGCAGCTCCTTTCTTCCTGCTGCTGTTAGACAGTACAACCAGCACTGCTCCCAGTAGAACCCCCCCACCCCCAGAAACTGTGAATTCATCACCATAGCTGTACGCAAATTTAATCAATACTCCATGTGCAATACATGTAAAATATCACAAGTTTAATTTTTTTTTTGCTTTTTCTATTTTCATTTCTATTATAATGTTTATATTGTTAATTCATCACTATTCCCATGTGCCGTATAATTAATACTCCATGTGCAATTCGGGTAAAATATTCCTACAGTGTAAAGGTTTTTTTGCTGTTTTATTTATAATGTTTATATTGTTAATTTTGTGAATAGAGTTTATGTGAAGGATAGAGTTTCTCTTCTCAGATCTTTTTATCTTTAGTATTATATACTGTCTATACAGTAATAAGTAACAAACTGTAACCTTATTAAGTAATTAATAAGGTTAATCACTCTGTTAATTCTATTCTTGTTACTTCTTTTCTTGAGTGCTTTGCGATCCTTTTACTGCTGAAGTACTGTGAATTTCCCCGTTGTGGGACTAATAAAGGATTATCTTATCTTAGATATTCTGAAAAATGCATTCTTCCACAATGCACACACATCAATAGCAGGTTGCTCTGGATGAAGTCAAAAGCGGTGTACCCACACCACCTACCCACCCCAGGGAGTTGACAGAGGAGAATCAGGTACAACATGGCCCTTGTTTGTCAGCCAAGTTAATTTTGGTAACGTTAACTCTCCAAATTTACTTGCTAAGGCCAATTACAATCAATATAGAACTCTATTTCTGCCAAATGTTCTTCTCTGTGTCTATTTTTCGGAACCAAGATTGTTTGGAATCGACTCGCATCATTTCTCATCAACTGGAATTGGAATCAGAGTCGACGCCAAAAAAGCAAAGTTTAACTTCATGCAAATTAGGAGCATTGTGGCGATTACCGAGTGGAATTGAGATCTGCAGACACTTGCCAGTAAAGTACAGCGTACTGCCATGGCATTTGTTTACCAGCAGTGAAACCATGGCAATCAAAGGTCAGTTTGAGTTCAGAAATGCCCACAGGCGATGAGTACCCAGCGAAGAGAGAAGCAAAAAGTTGCTGCTTGCTCAGAGTTGCTGAAGAGCTGTGAGGTGTTTGCAAATATTTCTAAATATTTAAACACTGAATTAAAGCCGGTCAGTAATGGCATGTTCTGTGCTTTTGGTAGTCGCTGTGTCAGACTAACTGGCATGAAAATACTAGGAGTCGCAGCAGAGATAACTGTAAACATGCAAATGGATTTTCCATTCGAAGAGGGAAACTATGCAAGGCTGTTTCTTTGGTAAACTATACTTTCATTCAGGCATTCGTGGCTGTGAAACAAAAAAAGGTCATATGTTGAATCATCAGGATACCATTAGGATAAAACTTTATCCAAGTGCAAATTAAACAAATATATTTAGAGCTATCTGTGCAAAGATCTTGTGATGGTCACTTTTTCATTTTGCCACAATTATTTAACCAAATAAACAAACAAATAAATAAATAAAAAATTAAATAAAAAAAGATTTCACATGGAAAGTTCTCCATTCGTTCCTTAAAGAATCCTGAAGTCTGTTCGTTTGCTTTGCATCCATAAATAACACAAAGAACAGGCAAAATAAAGTAGATTCACAATTTCTAGTTTTGAGAATTTATAACAAGTGAGACGTGTTAAATTTTGAAAATGTTATGCTGTACCTCTCTCATCATCGCTGTCCAACACGCGACTCCTCTTCACTGAGGTCTTACTGCCAACACCAGCACCAGCACTGGAACACAAAGCAGTGTTTAAATAGAACCAATGTACACAAATCACAGCCTGTATTATAGCAGCAATTCATGAAATCTTAAAAAGACATTAAATTAGTTAAAGGGGTATTCCAACCTAAAACTAGCATTTAATGTTGAATTCACAATTTGTTTTTCATCCATCAAAGTTCTCTTACTACAATACCCAGCATGCATTATGCAAATAAGTCATAAAACCATACTGTGGCCCCTGATGCACTCTTAAAAACTTTTTTTTATGGCTTTGCATGATTTAAGGGTTCTTTTTTTATTAAAGGGAACCATCTACAGCACATTCTCCATCTGAAGAACGCCTTCACAATACTTTATAACACTTTAATGATGCAAAGGGTTCTTTGAGTGTACACGGTTCAGTTTAGAACCATTTTCTTTACTAAAGAACCCCATGACCCATCATTTTTAAGGGGGAAGAGGTTTCCTAGCAGCTTTCTGCATTCCTTCTCCATTTGACAGCTACCAGGGAATAAAAATATTCAAACCGCCTGCCCTCAAGCAGTTGTAATTTTCCAAAAAATTAACCAAAACATCTTGCTCTTGAGACTATTGTGGCACATCTATAGGAGGTGAGCAATCAAGTTCACAACAGATGAAGCAATTAAATATTTAATTTTTAAATGGAGCAACTCTAAGAAAGAAGAGCTACTGAAAACCCTGACGTGTTTTTTTTTTCTTCTTTTTTTAAACCTACTGCACTTTTAACCATGGCAGAAACCAGAATGGCAAAGGTTTAATGCACGAGTAAGCTTAATCTGAATGCAGAATGAAACATATTCCTTAATGATTTCAGTCCTGTTGGCCAAAATCAGAAATCCCAGAGAAGTTCAGCAAAATGACCACTCTAGGTATCTATATGAGAGAAGTGCCTACACTTTGCATTAACATGTAAGTGCAGATTAAATCCATAAACCAACTGTACTGTTTAGCGACGAATAAAATAAACAGTAACAAACAATAACAAAACATGAGCAAACTACCTAAAAATAAAAATGTTATGCACAACAGAAAGAACTTCATTGAGGTTTGCTACAAAGAAACATGAGTGCTATTACTCTAATAAAACTTTTGCTTATTGCTGAAGCAATATAATAGATTTTAAGCTAAATATGAGAAGTACTCATTCAAAATCCAAATAACCTTTCAAAAAAGATTTCGAAGTGTGATCATATCCTCTTAGGTTAGAAAAGCTGGACTGTCCTTCACTTCAATATTAGGAAAACATGTCTCATGAACACTAACCTTTGTGCTTCGCTCTCAAAACTTGCCTCCTCAACTGAAGGATCTTCTAAAATCAGAGAGGAATACTCCATAAATGAATGTGTACTATAATTCAAATTACCTAATAAATCATGATTTCATGGTTGTAAATCACACAAATAATAATAAAGGCTCACTTTTTGTATCTGCGGATGAGCGTTTCCTCTGGCGAGCCAGCAGCAGAGCTCTTATGGCCTGGGCTCTGAGCTCCTGGCCATCAGAGCCTTCTTCGTGCTGCTCCGCTTCGAGGTTCACTGGTACCCCTGTTTCACTCTCTCCTTCCCCTCCAACCTCACTCTCTTCTGGTGGGTTCAAAGATGATGCCATGGTCCGTAGCTGATATATGCTCATTGTGGCGGGAATCCTCCAGAAGGACTCCTGTTGAGGACAAAAGCATTAATTATTATTATTTTTAAAAAATTTTTTTACTTGATTTTTCTCCCCAATTTAGTCGTCTCCAATTCCACCCGCTGGTTAGGACTCCCCCAATCACACGATGCTATCAACGCTAGGAGGGTGAAGGCTAACACAGGCTTCCTCCGAGACCTGTGAAGCCAACCACCGCTTCTTTTCGAACTGCCGCTCACGCAACGTCATTGGACAGCCGAACGCGCTCGGAGGAAAGCGCCAACCGCCAGATCTGTTACGTCAGCTAACAGACGCCTGCGCTGACTAGCATCGCGCTGAGTGATGGGGGGGGGGAAAGGAGGGGCCATCCTACCCACCCAGAGAGAGCGAGGTCAGTTGTGCTCTCTTGGACTCCCGGCTATGGATGGCTGTAGCATCACCAGGGATCGAACTCGCGATCTCCTGATGAGAGGGTCAACGCTTAGAAGGTTGCGCCACTCGGAAGCCCCATTAATATTTTAATAATGATATGAAAATGGCTTAAATGTTTATTCAAAAATGGGCTTTTAAACGTTTAAAATCCTAACAGATTTTGAAAATGGGCAGCATCACACACTTGATGTCAGACGTTTACAGAATTTTCTGCAGTGTCAAAGAACAGTTAAAAGTCTGACAGCAAAATTTAAAGAAAATGAGGAAACACCTTTTTACAGCGAGCTCAAACACATTCTAGGTGACGAGCCCAGCTGTCAGTCAATGAAGCTTCATGATAGCTCCTGTGATACTGACGAAGATGATACTAAACCTCCAGGTGTGGACTGGCATTCATTGGCAGTCATGATTGGTTACCTCTGGATGCATAGATTTTTCGCGCATGCAGGTCAGTTTAGAAGTGTGATTTGTTCCGACTGTCATATATAGGTCACATCTGAGGATATTGTGAACAGCCAAACAAAAAGAAATCAGATTTGGGCCACTTTTACCTGCTGTGTGAACACAGCCATAATGTGAACTGAGGACGAATATGAGGTTGAGAAACGCACATAGAGCTGGAAAAATATTTTACTACAAAATGGCAGCTGAACTTAAATTGTAAAGAGGGTAACTCTTTGTCTGTCTCACAACCAGCTCCTCTATCACCACATTCTGCTGTTCATGTGGTGTTCACGCACGTTAAGGCTGTTGTGTCACTGACCGCCTCACACTACAGGAGTCATGAATGTTTTGAGTTGTAAAAATCAAACGTTTGAAAATATCAACAGTTATCAAGGTTAAAATTAGGCAAAAAAAAATTAATAAATAAAAAAAATCATGCATGTTCAGCTTAAGATTTTAAACGTCACAGATACACCCTGTCCAAAAGCGCACACAATTTAGCTACTATAAGGTGCACACATTACTGACACAGGTGTCCAGTTGTGCACACTTTTATAATCTCCACAAAACCCAAACACACCACACTTGACCAACAGAACTTGACGCTCTGGAGCAGTCGTCCATGAGCCCGAGTTCACCAAGTCCAATGCCAAGTGTGAGCTAGAAGAATATAAAGCCCCCCCCAGCACTGGGCTGTTGAGCAGTGGAACTGTGCTTCTCTGGAGTGATGAAGCTCCATCCAATACTGACCATCCAATATCAGCACCCGACCTCACTAATGCTCAATCAAGTCCTCACAGCAATGTTCCAACATCTAGTGTAAAGCCTTCCCAGAAGAGTAAAGGCTGTTACGGCAGCAAAGGGGGACAAACTCACTATTAATAGCCTTTTATTCGGAAGAAGCTCCCAGTCATATAATGCCTTTTATATAATTTTCAGTGGTGGCAAAAATGCTGGTGGACATGCTTGATTACAGAGTACTAGAGATTATTTAATTAAAGGACAATTATGCAAATTATATAAATTATACAGAATTATGTAAATAAAGGACTCAAGAAAAGCCTCCTGAGTAACCTGTTCGTCTGCTGGTGGTCGGATGCCAATTTTGCGGAGAAGCCTTTGGAAGCTTTTGTTCTCCATGGCATCCTCATTGTCCTCCGTCAGAGGAACCAGTGGCAGAGGATGAGAGACACCTAAAAAAATAAAATAAATAAAAATAGTAATAATATAAATAATAATAATAATAATAATAATAGTGATGATACACAATGACATACATATACATATATATATATATATATATATATATATATATATATATATATATATATATATATATATATACACACACACATATACACACACACACACACACACAAAAAGAGCTTTAGGTGTGTGTCTCAAGACACACTTACCATCTTCTTCACGATCATCTGCTGCTCTGTTCAGGCAATTCTGCAGCCACAAGACTGGTCCAGACAAGCCTGTTAACAGACAGTGAGAACCCCTGGAGGGTGAATAAATGCAATAAAAACCAAACCTGATAAACTTCCTTTCTCCCATTACCGACACCTACCTTCTCGCCTCAAGTCCTGAACCACGGCTCCAACACTGACATTCCTTTCTGCAGCGCTTTCTCGTCTTCTGCCTTTCTTGCCCTGAACAGGTCTCACCACCTCTTCCCTCTCTTCTTCATAATCATCTTCCTCTAAGTCATCATCCTCTTCTTCGTCCCTGTCCATGGCATCCTCTTCTGGTGCTTGACTCACATTGGCAAAAAAATCCTCCTCAGACTGTCATAAATCAGTGAATACGAGAGAAAAGAGTGTGAAAAATGAGAAACTAATGATCTGAACAGAGAGTACTCAAATTATTTCGGTTGGATTTTCCATTGTACCATTCCGGTGCTTTTCCCAGGAGCATTGCGCCGTCGTTTCTTGTAGAGCTCCCTGCGCTCAGACACCAGGCCCAAGCTGAGGATCTTGTCTACAACGCGTGCCTTTGAGCGTTTAGCAGTCAACCGCTTTAGAATGTTTCCAAGGACATCTAAGGGGAAAAAGTAGAGGTCAAATACATTGTGTGGTAAACAAGAGCCCCATTTTGTAAGCTGCTGCATCTAATAAACACAATACTAATTTACTCTTCCCTATAGCTTGTGATTTTTCTATTACATGTTTACAACTACTTGTTGATTGATAAAATTAATTAAAATACATTTTAGGCAAAAACAACTAATGTAAAACAATATCTCGGACATCAAGCAGTATATCCATAACCATTTCATGCAACAACCCTTTCAGACGTCTGGTTCCTATCACCACCACTGTGAACAATTCTGACTCTAAGTTTCTCTAGAACAATGCTTTTCACACCAAACCACTCTGAATGACTTTGTTTACATCTCAACCATTAAACTGTAGAAATTTTTAAAAATTGGTGGAGTTCCCCTTTAAGTAAGAGGCTGGGCAGCTTATTGGATACAGGTTGAAATCTCTGCAGGAAAGTAGTTCTATAGGACCAGGGTTGGAGACCACCGCTGTAAAGTGGTCTCCAGTGGTCTGCTTGCTTGTCCATACATTTGAATTATTTGCAATTTTGTTTAAATATTTATTTTATTTCTCTGCCTAGTTGCAATGGACAATTAGTCTGCTAATAAATGTGAGTTAATTCTGCTCTCTCATCATGGGGTGGAAAAACTTGCCATCAGAGTCCTTGTACTCTTCAAAGAGCATCTGTAGCTCCTGTTCCTGATCTTCAGTCCACAGCACAATGCGGGTGCCTTTCCTTTATTAAGGAAGAAAAAGACAAGGATGAATCAATGATAAAATTTTAGTAATAATCCTGAGAAAAACACTAAAAGAAAAAAAAGGGAAAGGGATAACAAACAGTGACCATTAGTACACTTTTTAATGTAAAGGAAAACACCGAACAAATATCAGTGTGTTTACATGCACTCAATAATCCGATCATAATCAGATTTCCGCAGTTATCTGATTATTCAGATGGTCAGGTAAAAAGCATACTCTGATTTTTTAGATCGGAGTAAGGTCTAGAAATCTGACTTAGAAATCTGATAAAGAGAGCTGGATTTTAGCTCAGTAATCAGATTTCTCAGTGCATGTAAACTCTTCCTCTGATTTCTTTCGGATTTCTCAGTCTGCGCATGTGCAGAAACAGACTGCAGTACCAGAAATAGGCAAGCAGTGTAGAACGACGCTGAGACCAACAACATTCTTGATGAAATAAAGGATTTAAATATCCATCTTCTAGATGATGCAAATTCATAGTTTTAGGTAAACTATAGCCATTTTTTTTAAAAAGCCACAGTATTAAGTTTGAGTTGGAGTTTTACGTTACATTTATGTCACATCTTTTCTGTGAGTTTATTGGCTGGCTGTAAAGAAATCTGATTACTGCCTTGCCCATGCAGACCTGGAGCTTCCCATTATCTGATTACTCAAATGCATGTCAACGTTTTGATCACATTATTGACAAAATCTGATTTTCTGCAGTTATTAGACTATTAAGTGCATGTAAACTCACTGAATTGATCTTTTTTTTTTTCATATGTGGCAATAATGGTTATAGACACGGCACCTTTTTTGCTGACTGGTAGAAAAGGCTAACCACTAAACTGTAGCTTGACTTGGCAAACAAACATCCTTTTTCCCTTGTTCAAAACAGGACTACTGTAAACTAAACTATTTTTGGTTGAAGGTACCTCTCACAAGGCAGAGCAATTTCTGTCCTGTTGGGTGACATTTAACTAGCCTAATGCTATTCTATGTGGTATTAACAGGAAGTTATTTTGTTCGTATTCGTTTGATTCTAACCTTAACGCTGATGTTCTGATCCAGGTTATTTGAAGCAATTTGAAGAAATTACACAGACACTTTATCCCATACAAACCAGTCAGGCACATCCCTTACATGTTACAAAAAAAAATCCAGCTCTAATAGGGCTAAGTGTTTAAATCCAAAACAGGACTTGACGTAAACTTACTTCTCTTTCTTTAGGTCCTTCACACTGTCCACCAAACCCATAGACACCATCTGGGTCACGACCTGACGTCTTGTGCGGTTAGTGTTTGTTAGAAGAGGGAGCAGCGTCTCGACAATGTCAGGAACTAAAAGATAAAAGACAGAGACAAAACATTAATGCCTGATCAATCCAATTTCAGTCATAATACTCATGTATAAGTTTAAGAGACTCACCTTCAGAGTCCTTGTGTTCTTCATACAACTGACGAAGCTCCTCTTCCTCCTCAGGAGTCCATGTCACTTTTTTCTTAGCATCCTCACTGATATGAGGTACAATACAGGCAGATATATATCAATATTAAATGAGTGTATGTGTATATATACACACGGGGCATGGTATATATATATATATATGCGCCATGCCCCGTCATTGGAATACATATGACAACCAATCCTGAATCTTTTAAAACGTAAAATACTGAATCAGCATGAAGGTTTCAGAATTGGTCAAATGGATAAAACCACACAACAGATTAACTCTTACACGCACCCTTCTTTTCTGTAGCCCTCCGTCATCTCTCTCACAGCACCGACATTCTTCCAGAAAAGCAGCTCAACAAAGGCTTTGTTGTTCCGGGCAGCAAGGGCAAAGAATCGGTTCAGAACGTACTTGGAAAAGGTAACCAGCTCCTGACAAGAAAACCAAAATGGAGAAGGAAGAGATGGCACTTCATTACCAGGACAAATTTTGAAAGATATCCTAAAAGTACAAAATTTCTTGAAGTGGAAATACATGACATGTCCAAAAGTATCCAGACAGTCCCTCTAATTAGTGAATGTACCCAACGCTGACGACCATTTATTTACACACATGCAGCTTGTATAATCTTCATAGAAAAGCAGTGACCAAAAGAATGGGACTCTAGAGCAGTTACAAATAAGCCCACATTAAGTTAACATGTCGAATGCCAAGAATCCTCCCAGCACTGGGCTGTGGAGCAGTGGAACTACGGAACTACGTTCCTGATCTCACTAACGCTCAATCAAATCCTCACAGCAATGTTCCAACATCTAGTGCAAAGCCTTCCCAGATAGGTAGATGCTCTTACTGCAGCAAAGGGGGACAAACTCACTATTAATACCCTTCATTTCAGAAAGAAACACTGGATGAGCAGGTGTCTACAAACTTTTGGACATACAGTGTAGTGTATGAGTGCATTGTTTGTTAAACCACCTTATAGGCAGCAGCAGCAGGGTCAGTCAGGATCTTATTGAAGAGGTAGAAGACTGAGAGCTGGAAGAGCAGGGCGTCCATCTTCAGGTCCACGGCCACGCGATGGAGCATGCGCACTATACAGTGGTTTGTGTGTGGTGTGTTTGAGGCGTATGAGCGCAGCAGGAGCAAGTACGGACGAATGATGTTCGGGTTTGCAAATCTGGTGACCAAAATGTCAATTACAGCTGCTATAAATAATAAATACTGACTGAAGAGTTTGTAAACACAATGCTTCCTAAAGAAATGGCCTTGAGTGGATATAAGAGTAGGACTGTGTCCTTAGTTGGGATGATCCTGGTTATTCAAATAAAAAGATGTCCAAACACATGTTTACTAATAATAATTTAGTTAAATAAGGCCTGCATAGTTTATACACAAAGGAAAAATCTTTCACATTTATGAGCAACAAGATACAAGCCACTGATAATGTGTCTCATAATGAGAGAAATGTCAATGACTTTTGTGAGCAATCTTTCGCTGGATTTTTTTTTATTTATAACAATGTATAAAATTCTTCATTGGGATATTCAAATACTACTCATTTAAAAATGCAAATACTCAAATAGCAACAGCAGTAGAAATGACCATTCTTTGCCCTTTGTGGGTTTTGTAGTGTGGCTCAAACACAATCTGCCACACTACAAAACCCCAACAATCTCAAAGAAAAGCAAGCACATTTTCTATTAAAACAATTATTTGCTTGAGATTTGCAGGATACAAGCTACAGATTTAAGTACAGTTAGAGGAAAAGGCTGATCAACTTACGTTTTATCAATTCTTTAAGTGGAAAATAAGTTATCAAATCTTCTAAAGGAAACACAAATATAGCAGCATAATTTTTTTACAAGCAACATTGTTTTTTTTCCCCAATATGTTATACAGAACAAGTAAATAGTAATTAAATTGTGCAGAAGTGTGTTCTCTGTAGAGGATGTGTAAACTTATCGTCACTCAGAATATCAACAAACATGGGCCAGGTTGCCCAAACTTTGCATCCAACTGTAAATGTAAATATTTCTTGGCATTTCTGGCTGAATGCTATGCTTAGGTCCTCTATACAAAATACAAGTAGCTTTTAGGATCCTGTTATATTAATGCCTCATGTAGCTCATAGAGAAAACCTTATCTACAAATATAAACATTTATAAATAAATAAAATTTTCTGATCAGCTTATTCCAAAACATTACCATACAACATTATACTTCTCAGAAATTTGTTGGATCATAAAATGTCACTATTGCATGCATGTATGTACCTGAACTGCATTTATATACGGACCTTTTAATGAAGTCCAAGAAGTTGAACTCTGTTTCAGACACGCGCACAGACTCCAACTCTTCCTCCTCTTCTAGGTCTTCTACTTCCTCATCTTCATCCATAGCAGCCTCTGTGTGAGCAGGTCCTGAATAAACAAAGGAAAGGTTTATACAACAGCTACCACGATCGATGTGGTATTTTTTGAAAAATCTGTTTAATCAGCCTTTTAATATACTAATAACAAACGTTAGTTACATTTTTAGTCAGTTCACAGATCATTACATTCAAAATCTGCATACTGTTCTATACAAATTCCCAAGAACTTTATTCAGTCCATTTCCTGCACTTGCTAATTTGAAGTATTTGTAAGTCCTGCTGTGCAGAGATGACACAGTCTTGAATGACTAGCTTACTGGGAAGCTCAGCCAAAAGAATCTGCTTCAGAAGCTCCAGCTCCTCTTCAGGCTGCACCTCAGCAGAACCAAACACATCTCCCTCTGGCCACACCTCGCTGTAAATGACACAGGGAATTAAAAAAAAGTTATTAGAGGGAAAAAGCAAAACAAGAAATAGATAGCATAAGCTTCAGTCATGAAGAAAGAGCTGCCATGCACGCTGCCTGTCAAAATTTGAAGACAACTTGTCTTTAGACATTTAAAGTTTCTGTTACTTTTCAATCAAGTAAAATAAATAAAAAAAAATGAAAATGTTTCATTAACCTAACTAATGCTAATCCTTTAGGTATATTTAGCTTCAACACTTAACACTCAACACTCTTAGCTTCAACAGCTTCATGATCATCAAAATGTCTTCCTTGTTATGAAGAGCAGGTTTTGCCTTATTAAATACTGATTTAATGGTTTTCTTTTTCAAACTTCTCCTAGAAGCACATATTGAAACGATTTTGGTCAAAACACTTGAATGTTTTGGGTGCTGACATCATAACGTGCATAAATATCACATCACTTGTCTTTAAAGTACTTTGAGCTGCCACCAGCATCAAAAGTGCCATATCAGGGGTCGCAACTAAAATGCTATATATGACCCCTGTGCTATATAAATAAAGATTATTATTATTATTATTATTATTATTATTATCAAATAATGTGTGTCCTTTGGATTTACTCCTAAAGGTTAGGCTTTTATAAACTTCAGACACAACTTCAGTTTCTTCAGATTGGACCTAAACAGCTTTATTTACTTTCTTACAAACCAATGTGGAAAACATGCACATTTGAATAAAAAAAGCAGGTTGAAAAGACATTTTTCCACAATTTCTTTGAGAGGCAGTGTACGTAAATGTAGTACTACCATGCTGATATAACGAAAAGTGAAAGCCCTTGAAGAGAAACAGCTGGTTAAATGATGTGCTTTGGATCATAACATACAATTTCAGGCTCCCAAAGAAACTGTTCAAAATACTATTTATCTCCATAGTAAGTGTGCTTTTGCCAGTAAAACACTAACATTAGAATACAAATGAACGTGAATACAGAAATATGTAACAAGATTCCATCAGTAGCACCTGATTTCATTTAATGAGGGACTAATTAAATAAACTAGTTAGACAGTTAACTTCCTCAATAACAGCTTTGGAAACGGTTAAGCAATCAAGTCCTGTTTATTTCTTTATTTATTCTAATGTTACCATTTTTAAACAAATTAACGCTTACTGCACAGATAAACGTCTATACAGATAATTCTTCTGAGACTTTTGCACAGGACTTTTCAAAGACTGGCGGTGTTTTACCGTGCGGCCCGGAGCAAGCCGAGCGCCTCTGGCCCAGTGCGGGCGAACAGAGCGTCCTGAATACGGATCATGGCTTCGGTCCGCTGCTCTGTAACAGGAATTTCAGAAGCTGCATCGAACGGCACAACACCCTCCGTCAGAGCCTTCGATAACTGCAAGCATAAATATGTAGAGTTCACGACAGAACATCTTCCATGTTCTTACATCGAAGCATGATTTTTAATAAAATGTCACTCAAAGTCAGTCACTCAGCCACTCATTAAATAGAGTATAGGCCAAACACAGTTATACACATTTGAAGAAAAGCCACTGAGTCACTCACAATAGAATCTTTAACCGAAAGGACTAACCTCAAATCCAGATGTCCAGAGTTCTTTAGACACGACTGTCCACGTCTCCTCCAGCGCTTCAGGTGTATTCTCTGTCTGAGAACTGGACTTCTTCTTCTGCTTCTTCCGTTTTACTTTCTTTTTCTAAAGGCAGAGGAACACGGAATACACGTTTCAGTAAACGCGATACTAATGACTACATTCTGTGTTTGCTGCAAAAGTATCATGAAGTATTAATAATAATACACTTACATCTATTCTTAACCTACAAACTAATACATTTTCAACTGTTAAATAGTACCACAGTTTTCCAATATTTAGCACAGTGCTGAAACTGTGAACAATCTTTAACTATACATATTTAAACCTGTATATTTCATTGACAATGTACATACCATTTAATGCTCATATATGTTTTAATACAACTGTACATGGTGATATGCATTATGTATTTGTTTTTTTATGCTGACATTAATAACAAAGAAGGCTTATACAGCTTGTACTTGTACTAAAAATTCTCCTGAGTGGGTACATGATTCTTATTCTCATCTTATCGCATAATCATGACCTCTACATAACCGTGACTTTTTGATCTCAAACAAACACATAGATTAAATAAGCAGAATCAATTTTAATAATGTGAATACGACTCTATACAGGCACAGTTTACTGATAATTACTGACTTAAGCATCTGTTGTAGGTCTCCATTTTCATTTGCAAATGCTGCAGATATGGTATATATGCAGTGGTATAGGCACATGTGATAATCCTGGGCATTTAGAAGAAAATGTTTAAGAACTTACTGGAGTTTAAAAAATACTTTTTCAAATTAAAATGGTAAAACTGTCCTGTTTTGGCATTTGTAGTGGGATACAGTAGCAAGTTTCTGAAACAGACAAGGCAAATTTACTATTTGATACAGTTTTATCCAAAATGTTCAGTTGGAGGAAAAACATGGAATTGATATCCAAAATGTTCAGTTAAATGACTGACATGAACAAAAGAAATGTCCAGCTAAACTGTCCACACCCTCACTGCAGAATTTATTATTCTCATTAACGATGCTCGAGTCTTCTCATGAATTTACCACTGAAACCCACCCCTCGCTCACCTGCACCAGGAGGTTGTTGCGGCCCTTGCAGAAGCGCTCAAGCATCCTTAAGAACAGATGGGTGGACTCCACCAGGTCTTGCAGAAACGAGCGGGGTTGCATTTTCTCATCAAACTTCCGCAGGAGAGTGAGGAAAATCTCTCTGTACTCCATCAGGTAGAATATATTACCTACAAACACACAAACAGTGAACAGAAAGAGATATGAGGGAAAAAAAAAGTCTCATTTATCACCAGTAAAAACAAAAGCATGTCATGTTAATTTTATATGTCCGTGTGGGCGCAGTATCAAGTCGTTTCTTGACATCAAATCAAATTGAAAAGACATCAAAAGACTCAAGCTTGTCGATAAAAAACGGAAAGGAAATTTAACTGTAATTCGCTGGGTAAAAGTGTATTTTCAGCTTTGTAACTATGCAATTTCATGATTACATCTAAAGAGTAGGGCAAATATATACTCTACTTGTCGAGTATGTGTAGTAGCAGGATGCATCAAACTTTAAAGCAGGGTGTATGAGCACAAAAAGCTTTCCACCGGTCAATGCAGCTCCTCACTTGAGCATGTAAAAGTAGTTTCTTACTCTTGATAACACTGGCGCTCTGGCGAATGTTCTCATCCTTCGACCGATCCATTTCATTTACAGTCAGCAGAAGCTCCTGATAGGCCTTCAAAGCCAAATGCATCCTAGATGATTCGAAAAGCAGATTTTAATTATTAATTAATTGATTAAGGACTTAATCTGTTCTCCTCTAATCGCACATTAAAAGCACAGAAGACCAGCAGTGCAGTGTTCAGACTGACCTGCGAGACCATGACGTAGCCTCCTTTTTGTCGGTGAGCATCATTTCGTAGTAGTTGGTGATGTTCTTCTCTATGAAATGGAAGGTGCGGACTGACAAGGTTTCTGAGACCAGCTCTGGCTTGCAGCCGTTGCCGCGGTTAAAGGCCATGAAGAAGCTCAGAGCCCACAGGTAGTAGGTCTCATCATGCTGTTGTGCATGCTCACGGATAAGTGACTCCTGAAAAGGGAAAAAAGATGACAAACCAGAAAAAGTTAAAACATCTAAGGTCAGATCTGTACTTTTATTCATGTTTGTAACAGAGGTGGGTGATAACAAAATATAATATCACGATACTTTAAGAAATCTTTGGCATGCATGACATCACATTTAGTTTTTATGGGTTTTTTTGATAAGTTGTAATGGACAAAATACTTTCAAAAACTACTGCACTTTATTCAATCTTTCTCCTTGACTGCAAATTAAGCAGGACTAATTATGCGCTCTTTGTAATCATGCAGTTGGTCAGTGTTTTAGAAGTACTGATGATATCTATACTATGCTCAGAAAATCAGTGACATTTGTGAAGCATCATGCTAATGACAAATATCATCATATTGCCCAATCCTAGTTTACGGTATGTCATATATGTCATACCGTCTCAGATACCACATAAGCAAGTCTGCTTGAGATCAACTCAACAACTTGATATAGTTTAAGGTCCATGCATCAAACACAAGGCCCGCGGACCAGATCAGGCCCACAACGCAATCCTATCCAGCCTCTGTCTCTCCACCCCCAACAACAATCTATGGGAAAGTGGTTACACCTCACTTCTACACACTTCTCACACCAGTTATATCACCAAACACACTAGCTGAAGAAAGGATGCCAGGAATTTAGTTCAAGCAAATAAGCAGGTTTAAAAGACTGAGTTCCTGGGCTCATTTAAATTTTAAATATATTCATGGTTTACTAAAAGAGGAAAACTTCAGACAGCTAACATGTTATTGCAGATGTTATTGCAATATGGCTTTATGAAATATGAAAAGATAGGTATGTTGGTTTCTGCTGCACAACCATTACGCATTGGAGAACAGTACTTTTAGAGCCACAGAGGCATTTATAAAAACAAAGAGTTCTGAAGAGATGCTCTTTTGGTTCCTCTGCGTTTCACTGGCTTCATCTAAGATCAGAAAGTAGTAAAATTAAACAGTTCAGTGCTTAAATTATGGTGCTCCCATCTAGAAATATTGGTTTTGACATTTAATTTGCATGCTTCTAATGATCCAATCTCGAAGGGCCTAACGTTAAATATAAAGTCTATTACAAGATTGCTTACATTTGATTTGTTACACAAACCACAAAAGATGCTTAAGTAACACAAACTTTAGAAAGATATCTAAAATGCATAAAGTATGATATGGGGAAAATATCCAACTGCGAATAATCTAAAGAATTCTGTGACTGCGACTATTTTCCACTAAGATCAAGGCCTGTTATTTCGTCCAAGAGGACCAGCTCTTTTTCTGTCTGAGGGCCTCCAGTTCATCCGTTTAATTTGCCCACTTAGAACTTAACAAATTGCACTTTCCATGGAATGCCCTCACTAATGACTGTTAGTGTGATTTTCATATTCATTCAATTACATGAGTAAAAGCACAAATTGGCTTGAAACAGTGATGTAATGCTGCCCCACCTTTACGAGGTACATGAGTCGATTGTAGCAGTTATCGAGAAAGTCCGCGCAAAACTCTCGCAGGAACAGACGCACGTTTAGGACAGAGCGGCGCTGACTCTTAGCGTCCCGGGCCACCTGCTTCCGTTTGGGCACTCGTCTGGTAGCCTTTCCAGCATCATGAGAATAGTTCTTAAACTGAAAAGAATGAAAACCAACCTATAGTTAATAGTACATAATATTTCTTTACTAACTTACTAAAAGCAGTAATATCCCATTTATAATTAAAACTTGTCATTTGTTTAAATAAAAATAAGTCAATACCCTGCAATACATGCAATATAGACAAGAATGGCTACACCAACTTAGGCTGTATAACTTGATGTTGCTTTGAAACAGTCAAAAACGAGTATTAATTCACTCACATTGTGGAGTCCTTGGTGAAAAATCAAATCTTTCTCGCTGATGGATTTCAATCCCTGGACTACATATGATCCTCTGAACCGAGAGTGCCTGTTCCAGAAAGAGACAAAATGAGTACTAACTCATCTGCAGAGAAGAAAGCTGAGTGCACTCTGCTCCCCCTTGTGGCAAAATAAAATAGCAGAACAATCAAAGATGCTATGAAGTGTAACTTTCCCCTATCATCAGAAAACATTTGATCACTTCAGAGAAAGGCTTTCAGCACTATTTTTTCTGTCCCGATCCCATTCCAAAAATTATAATTTTATAGTGTTTTTAATATGGACTTTGGATGCGATTGCCCTGGACCAGCTGATTGTGTACCTAGTTCCTCTCTGCATGGTGCGGCTATGTTTCTCTGCCAGCTCTTTCTGTCTGAGGGCCTCCAGTTCATTAGTGTCCTTCTGTTTCTCCTGCGCAGAGCGTGCCTGTCCTGCACTCACCAGCAGTTCTGGAGTCTGTAGGAGACAAAGGGACAAAATGTAACTAGTAGAGTACATCTACATATATACATACAAAAAAAACATACATTTTATAAATATAGCAAAAAGAAAAATTACAAGAATTCCCTCTCCCCCCTTCCGTCCAAATGTGTTAGGTGTCTTCCAATAAGCAGCTGCATTTTTAAGCTTAGTACTCAAGTTGCAAAACTTCACGCTTAAACCATTACGTACTTGGCTTAAACTGCAGACAACAGTACAGACAAAATTCAGGGCTTGAGATGGCTGCCACTTGGCTTTTGTAGCTTAGCTTTGTGGTGTACTTTTGTCCTTGTTTAAAGGGCCCATATCACAGAAAACAGCATTTTCCTCAAGTAAAAGTCTGATGCACATAAACAGTTTAAGTTTCAAAATGTTCTGTTCATTCCCCCGTCCATATAGTCCACCCTTGGAAAAGCAAGCTCACTTTGAATTCATTGTTTTTTGACATCTCAAAAAACAACCCATTAACATATATTTAGCCCTGTGTGTTCAGACTGAAGTTACAAGGAAATTTTTACCCTGCACTGCTATTTAAATGAGGCACAATACATGACAGCCAATCAGATCTGAGATCACTTACACACAGTAACAAAAACAGACTGTTTAGTTCTAAGGGATTAAAAGACGTGCTCATGTAAAAATAAATGGCTGTTTTTGGTAAATAAACCTACATAAATATCAGAAGGGGACCTCAGAGGAAAAAAATAAGCAAAGGAGATCTTCAGGAAAAGGGTTGAAGTACACAGACCTGCTCTCTGAACATAAGTGAGATGACCTCCAAAACATGCATGCTCCATTGCTGTTCACTCTGGGCGCTGGCCAGGAATTTCAGCAGGTCGTCCATTCCACTCATGTGGATGGCCCACAACAGCTTGTCGTGCACACTGGCATCATCGTCCACGTTCTTCAGGGGGCATAAAAAAGGTGTGCGGAGAAATAAACAATTTTTTAATTGAATAGCACAGAAAAGCTGTGGCGTTCATATTGTTGCAGCTATTGTGCAGGCTTGTAGTCAATATAACTAGTGAAATCAAGCCAGTTTAGGCAAGACACACAATGCTCACACAGGAACCAGACATCTGAAGAGCTGAATGCCTCTAAAAGCTCCCTCACACAAAGCTATTACATGAAACTGTTATAAATACACTGCCTGATGCCCAAGACATTGTCAGAGCTAATGTAAAAACAAAGGTGTTAAATCCATTTATCGCAGAGAGGTAGAAAAGAAAACACTTATTTTTTTCAAGGTTAACCACAATTTGTTTTTCCACCAGAACATGTAGGTCCACTGGTGGTTTTGGATAGTAAATAAAATGACTATATTTGTGTTGTAAACCTGGTGACCCCTGGTTCCCATCACCACCACTGTAAAGACAAGTCAGTAAGTTTCTCTACAATGAACCACTTCCCATCAAACCACTTTGAATGACTGTATGTCTTAATTACAGCATTATGCAAAAAAAGTCAACTGAATTCTGAAAACTAGATATGGTTGATCAAGTCAATTAACCTTTTCCTCATAGGGGTCAGCAGGGACATGCAACACGTTCCTGACCAGCAGCAGTATCCTCTCAATCAGCAGGTTATCCTCCTCCTGCCTCTGCTCCCAGTCCTGAGAGAAAGAGAAAGAGTGAGGGAGGGAGAGAGAGAGGACGATACATAAACAGGGAATTACACAGAACAAAAGAGAATTACAGTGCATTTGTTAGCTCTACATATCGATGCTGTCGGAACAAAACCTCGTATCTCTCACACTTTTAAATCTGAATGCAAGTTAATGGAACTAGATAGAAGTCATTTTGGAGCTTTTCTACAGCTCCATTTATAATAAATTTTAGCATGTTATAAAGGGCAGCTGGCAGTTTCAAATTCAGTATGAAGTTATAAGGTTTTGTTCTGACAGTAGCGATGTTGCACTTACGGCTTGTATGGGCAGACTGCAGGGGTGCTATTCAGTATCTATTTTATTAATGTGTCTGACACCAAATGTTTAAAATGTCAGCTGCTTTTAATTTAGAAAATGTCATTTCAGACAAATTAAAACTTTTCCATACCCTGCTATACTGCACTAAACCTGCTGAGAACCAGCTTGCAAGTAATCAGGCATGGACTATGTACTTGTTTTGGCTCAGTACTCCTTTGCATCAGATCTGGTATAATGGAGTTAAAACAATAAGCATTTGAGGTAAATGCAGTCATGTTCCTCAGTCTAGTATCAGCAGCAAGGGCTTGATTTTTAAACAGCTGCTACGTCGGTACACTAGTTGGCAACGTGCATCTTTGCTCACTAGGCGGTGAGAAGAAGTCTAGCCATTCACTCACAACAGCTCAAACCAGCAAGACAGTTTTGAAATTAAGAAGAGTGAAAAAGGCAGCGAGTTTGAGAAAAACATCCCAGAACTGGGCGGAGACTGCAGCAAAAAAAAGTCTTCTACAATGTGGAACTGATTCAGCTTTCTTAAATCAGAAATACCGTAAGTATGAAATACTTAAAGCTGAACATTAGGTAATGTATGAAGAGATTATTAACAATTATTGGATTAATTATCCGTATCAAATATTATGATAAAATATGAGAATACGATTTTTGGCCATACTGCTCCACCCTCGGTCAAAGGACACAATGAAGGCATTGTCATGTCTAGTCGCTGAACCACTCATGAAAGCATGTGAGGCAAATTAATCAGCAATAATCAATCTCTGCAGCAGGCATTACATATGCAGTCTAATGAAACAAAAACTCTACTAAAACTCTACCTGTAACTGTGCACATAAGTAATAAAACAAATCTTTTTAAATTCTGCCAAATGCATTTAAACACATTTTCCGGCACTCACCAGTTGCAGAAGGTTGTACAGAGTCTCACTCAACACAGTGAAGACTTTCTCATTGGCAAACGCCTAAAAGAAGAAAAAAATCTGTTATTTCTCTGCTAATTCATCCGATGTATTTCAGATGCTCTTTCCTGAGGCTGCACAGTGCATACCTCTTTATAACCTTGCAGATAGGACACAACTTGAAGAAAATGATGGCGGAAGGCAGGGTCATCTGGGATTTTCCCAAAGCAGAGAAGCGCTGGCTGCGTCAGGTTGACCATAAGCCTGTAAAACATTTGAGTGAAATTTTTAAATACTTTTGGATTAAAAAAGGAACATACTCTTTTTACAAATTTTTAAATAAAATCTTTCTTTAAGGACTGCTTTAGTTTCGAAAAATGGTCCAACAAGCTGCATCAAATGGCCTTACTTGTGTGGCCTTTTATGAACATAAGCCTTTAGAGTATGTAAAATGTGCCAAAATAAAGCTAATAAAGCAGACGGTTCTGTAGTTCTGGTTCTGTTTGGTTGTCCTATGTTCGCAGCAGCTGAAAAATACTTAACTCACATACACAATCACATTTATTAGCTTAATTCTGTATTAATTTGCCAACTTACAGAAAACACTTTTACTGCATGGTAACCATTACCTACTGTTAAAAACACTGCATTGTGAAAGAACTGATTATTGCAATCACTTAATATTACATTAGAATGATTTATTGAACATTGATGCATCACTTTGTATTTTGCTGCCACTTTTAGACCATTCATTTTTCAAAATCTCTAGACAATTCGATCACTGAGCGGTTTGATGAGAAATGGTTCGTTCTAGACAAACATGCGCACAGACCTGATGCAGGCATCAAAAAGTGATTTGTCCTGTCCATGCTGAGTTATGATGGGTAAGAGATCATTCTGAAGAATCTGTGCAGCTCCCAGCTGTTGTCTGATGTCCCTTGAGTCATCTTCATGCCTCAGGTAGCGAATCAAGTCCTTTACACTCTCTAAATGCAAAGAATTAGCAATTAAACACACAAAAGTTTAAATAAGAGAACTTTGACCTGGGCATTAATGCACACCAGGTACGTTTTCCTGGACTGTTTTCGTACCATGTAAACGTAAAGTAAGTTTCATACTTTTGATTCACATTTGTGCCTCTTTCAACAACAGTCTCTGTAGCACAGGGACAGTAGGAGCTCACATTTCGTGTTTATGACTTGTTTGAGTCTTTGTGGCTGAATAAGCTGTAGTTTAAGTCCTCTAAAGCAAAACATTGTGCAGTTTTACAAATATTGTTCTTGATGACTTGAACTGTACATTTGAATAGACCGTTGTGCATGGACAAAGCCTACAGTCTATAGATTTGCACCATACAACAATCCTCGGTCTGACTGACCTGCTACATGGAACGCAGCCTCTACATAGATCTCTGTCTGCTGGACAATTATCAATAAAGCTGTTTTATTCAAAATAACACATTGCACACCTGAGCAAACATTGGCTGTGTTTACATGCAAAGATTCCTGCCAATCTGATTCTGATTTCAGATTAAGACTGAGGTGTTTATTTGCTCACTCTACTCAACAATCTGATGAAAATCTCAGTTTACATGCTCACTACAAGTAACTTGTGTAGACATTAGCATGACAGTGAGCTTCACTTGAGTCCCATCAGAGTGAGATGAGCAGCAGTGAGCAGTGCTTGTGTTTTTAATTACTTTAAAATGATGTCAGACTCAGGAAAACGTACTTCACATGTACTTATTAAAGAGGAAGACGTCATGTTCTGAGACACATAAGCTGGACGCCCGTCCCACCGCCGTCTTCTAAAGCTCAAAGCACAAACTTTGCCTCCTCTGCAGACCAGTTTCTGCTCCCGCCATGTTGGGCATTATAAATTTATAAACATACTTAAACTTTCTGATTGAGAATGTAATCAGATACAGGTGTTTATATGGTTATTATTCTTCTATTTACTGGATCATTTACAGGATTACCCACCTCGTTCAATCGGACAAAAGTTGTATTCCGAATGGCCTCAATCGGACTAGTCTATTCCAGTTGAGTTGTTTACATAGACATGTTTTACTTGAATTGAGTTGTTAGTCAGATTATTAACAGATTATTAGGCTGCATGTAAAAGTGGCTGGTGGGAAACTGAACTACAGCAGCTTTGCTAAAACCAGGCGGTATATACGGTAGGACATTACCGTCTCTCAGCATATATTATAAATACAGTAACAGTGTTTACCTTTAATGTTTATATCTCACAATTCTATTCAGTCAAACAGAGTGAAGTTGACATTTACAAACTTTGGCACCACAAATGTCAACTTTTTTGCCTCCAACTAGAGTGAATGGCACGGCAGTGTACACTTCGCTTACGTCTCGTGGTATCAGCTGGTATCGGTACATTTTTATGAGTACAATGAGTGAGTGAATAATCACAGTATCAACCCGAAACCAGTATCATTATCCATGCGTCCCTAAATAATAATGTCACATCTTGACAAAATATAATCAAAAATCTGACTCACCAAGACAGTCTGGTTCTTTGTGGTATGTTTCACCCTCCAAATAGCCCAGGGCACTGCAAGTGGCCAACAACTCACAGTTCATCATGTATAAGTCCATACAGTGCTGTGCTTCCTCTGGGTACAATATGGTCTCAGTCTGCAAGACAGGGCAAAGGAAGAGATCAAAATACATAACATTTAAATCCAAAAGAAACAACATTTAAGTTGCTCTCATGAGTTGTGGCATTAACTAACATACATACTGATCTACAGAGTGTCTGACCGGAAAATCCTCACCCTGTAACTCTAAAAACCGTAAAAGCAAACCAAGCAGAAGCAGTGAGGAAGGGTTATGCAACTGTGTCACTTACCCATAATGCGTCTAGTTAACCTACTTTCACTGGAGGGAGGGTGAAAGCTAAAGCCTGTCCATACAACACATTAACCATAACATGTAAACATAAGAACAGATGTACGATTACGCCGCAGTGGAGTTCTGTGGGGAGTTTGACATTTTTAACACCGGCAATTTAAGTTATTTCTGTAATTTAGTGACTGTAAACACTGTAAAACTCACAGGAGCTGGAAAATGGAAAAGGGGAAATTCCAATGCTCCAACAAGTCTGCATAATTCAATCTTTAGGATGTAAACAAAGACATTTAAGCCCAATTCCATTTCACCCCTTGCCCCTACCACTGAGCCTTACCCCTCCGTTTTGCGCGATCACATCTAGGGTTAGAGTTTTTGTTGAGGGAGTAGGTGCAAAGTGTTAGGGCTACACGGCTCTCCAAACTGAGGTTTTTCAGAGGCACACTCCAAACAGTGTTATGAAAAGAAAAGGAAAACTGGATGGCTGCACAAGCGACCAAAGAAACCCACAAATCTGAGTTTTTTCCCTGTTAAAACTTACAATAACCATTGTATTACCTTAGCTTTAATGTCGTTTCAATGTATCATGGTCCTTTTCCTCATAACAAACATAAGAAATCCTTAGTAATATGCTGATGTTTCAATAGCTAGCTAGTTAAATTTCCAGCTCCACCTTAAATGGCACAGCAGTTACATTTTTTTTTGAGGTTTACATAAAAGTTAAATAGCAGAAACTGGGGTTGAAAGATTCATCGTTTTTATATCAAAATTTTTGCAATTGTTAAATTGCAAGAGTTGCTTTTATTATTATAGCCTACATTATCAACAATGTTGGCAAGTTTAAAGTGGGAAATTTTAACCTATTAACTAAGTTTGTGAACTACCTGTAGTGTATTCAGACCAATCAGAAGCAACAAAACGTCCATGCGCTGTGACATCACAACCACAGCTAACTGGCAGTCTGATGTACTACACTCAGCACGAAAGCCTCAAGCCTGAAATATTGTCCATACAGGCGTTCTTGGCCAATAAAAACATTCAGGTCTCTATGAGAGGGCAATAGTGCAAAAATATAATATCGAGATACCTCAAGAAATTTTCAGGATATACGATATGTCACGATATTTATTTTTTCAGACATCTGATCAGTTTGAACACAGAAAAAAAGAAGCAGTAGTGCTACATTAAAAAAAAAAAAACTATCAAAAACTGTGAGCACAATGATTTTTATTTAATATTTGGCACACTTTGTTGCACTAAATCCAGATAAACGGGACTAATTTTGCTCTCTTTAAAATGAAATGGAAAATATAACTTACACGACATGCTCAGAAAAGTGTAGCTGCTGTATTGTATACATAATTTACTACAACGAGGATATCTACTGTCATATTGCCCAACTTTAACTTATAGAAAGTACTAGGAAGTTAAATTGCAGAAAAAACATCTGTCAGATGAATCGGAATTAGATAAATTTTACCAAATCGTTCAGCCCCAGCAGGAACCTAGGTTCTCTCACCAGAAGCTAGACTGCTAACTTAACCTAGTCTTGCCAGCAAAGATGCCATTAGCTAACTTACACTGGTCAGCCTTGTGTCAGACATGAAACTATTAATTTCCAGAGTCATCACCTAAAGCACACTAACAAACCTAAAGCTATAAAAACTGTAGCGTTAAGTTATCTAACTAGCTAACTAAGTTACTGTAGCTCCTGACTCACTCAGCTTAACTTAGCTAACGCTAGTTTAGTGTCGTTAAAGTTAGGTTAACTTAGCTGTTAGCTAAACAACGTCAAACTTACCAGAGACGAGAGACAGTAAAGCGAGAAGAAATGTAAGACCAGTAACCTTCTCGACCTGAAACGTGTTACCGAGCCATCACTACAGATCTAAACTGAATTATTAATGGTTTTTAACCACACTGTTCGTCCATTGCTGCAAACAGCTTTGCCCTGCAGGCTCATCTCCCGCGCAAATCATACATTCGCACTGGCGAACGAATCGGCTCTTTTGAAATGATTCTTTTCAACAAATCGGCCGAACCGATTCACAAGTCCAACTGAATCTAACTTGTTTGCAGCATCCAATGCTTATGCCTCTGTTCTACACACTTAAAAGCTTTAAAAATGGCAATAATTAATTCAGTTTAAAACATATTTTATTCACTACATTTTCTCTGCAGAGAGCTTACAGATTCTGAAGTTTTAGCTATATTCTGGGAGAGATGAGAATAAAGTCGATTTCACTTGTTAATCAATGAATCATTGAGTCGAGCGATCAAACCAACAGACAGTCAGGACGAATCGGCTCTGTGAACTGAATCAACCTTCACGTCACTGACGCAAGCGCCGGTTTCCTTAAAGGGACCGATACGCACGTTTTGCTGTAATATGAACGGAAAACGTAGAAAAGAAAAAGTCTTTTCAGCCTACTTCGCTTCTATTCAGCACTGAGGGGTCTAATTTTCGACATTTACTGCTGCAGTTCAACAAAGGGATTTTCAGCGGAGCAGCGCCTTGTTTACTATCAAACATTTTATTTTCGCCCTGATGTGTCTGTGTAACCCGGTATGTCTTAAATTCGCCCGTTTATGAACGAAAAGTACGATGAAAACTCAAACATGTATCGAAGGGAATGTGTTATCTCTATTGTTTCGCAAGAACTCTACTTTTCCGTTCCACCTTAAACAGCGCTCAGTGCGCAGCGCCTGTGCGTGCGCCTGAATGGAACTGCCATAGCATTTAAGGTGGAACTGACAGTTCGAATTAGAAGCCCACTCCAGCGTCCTACTGTACTTTTTTTTTGACATATTACACGTTTCCCACAGTGATGTTATGACTCATCATTAACATCGCAGAATTTTCACTGATAGCAAATAAGACACTAAAAAACCCACAGATGTTCTCATTTACTTTCACAGTGAACTAATAACATGACACCTACCTTTAGAGATGTAGTCGTGCGTTATTTAATACCCTCAGTTTGCTTGAACGTCCCTTTACAGGAGTGATTTATACAGCTGAGTGAATAATACTAAAGAGAGAATAACACTACAGGCACAAAGTCTCGCCGCGATTCACACCATTCCAGCTGGCTGTATGGACTCAGAGTGGAAAAGTAAATTAAGCATGAATATATAGACTATATACAGTCCGTTTGTTTTCAGTTAAGTTTATTAAAATCATACAAATCTCACAAAACACAGTGATATACAATTTGAAAAAGCTAATAGTGTTTTATTAAAGTGGCCACCCCTCTTAAAGTGATAGTGGTTTAATCCAGTCACATTCAAGTCTGCGTGACAGCCGCGGCCTGTTCTGAGCTCAGTTACCTAAACCATAATGTCCTTAACTCTGCCAGCACAATACACTGTGCAGTGCTTCTGTTATTTAAAGTATACCTAAATTAAGATCATTTCTTCAGTAATAAATAAAAAAATAGTTTCTTATGATTTGAATCCACCACACCCTTTGATGCACTTGGGTCAAAAGTGACCTGACTGAGTTTTTATTTCCTATATCTTTGCAATAAATTCATTCTTTCATTCTTCTTTTTTTACTTTATGAAGAAAAATACTTTTTGTATTACTAAAAGTTTACAAACTTGGGTCAAAAATGACCTATATATGCAAGTGTGATGAAAAATAAATAAATAAATAAAGATATGCCATAATAATAATTTTGTTAAAATAATTATTTTAGCAGTGATTTAACCAAACAATAAGACATTCATTTGAAATATGTTTGTTTGTTACTTTGCAATAGGCTCCAGCTCCCCCCCGTGACCCAGAAGGGGAAGCGGCTTAGAAGATGTGTGTGTGTGTGTGTGTTTGTGTTTGTGTGTGTTTGTGTGTGTGTGTGTGTGTGTGTTTGTGTGTGTGTGTGTTACTTTGCCACATATCACTGATAATCTATACCACTGATACTGAACTGTAGTGTAACAGTAGTGAACTGTGTTGAATGTAACCGAATAAAAGAAAATAAAACTGATGAAATAATAAACTCCCATCTCAGTGCTTACATGCCTCACAAATGACAACTACATGTTTCTGCTCCTGCACACAGGCCTGGTGAACTGGGAACACCAGTGCATGACTTTTCTGTCTTTGGCAGCTGCGCAGATCTCACACCTCTTCCTCTTCACTAAGCCTTCCTGTCGGGATCTTTCCTGTGCCTGAGTGGTGGCTGTGTATGGTTTGATTTTTGTTCATAAAGTAAGACATGAAGAATGAAAATAATGACCTGTAGTAGCCAAAACAGGATTAAACAAACACAGGTAATATAAACTGATAAAATAAACTGATAAATATAATATAGTGAAGAAACACTCAGTCATGCATGAAATAACATAAGAAATTAATATGGGTCATTTTTGACTCATGTTGTGCATTAGAAGGGCTTTGCATAGGTTGTGCATCAAAGGGTTAAATCTGTGAATATGAAGTTTATCATCAGCATAGTGAAAAAAAATTACAAGCAAAATGGTACAATATTAGAATCATATCGGTATCGGCAGATAATTTTTTATGCTATATATCAGCATCAGATCGACGTTTGACTGATATTTTAAGCCAATATACTCTTATTGCTCTGGATAAGAGCGTCTGCTAAATGCTGTAAATGTAAATATTTGATCATATAAAATATTTTTTTTCTTTTCAGTTTTGTAACAATAATAGATCAACTTTGTTCCACAGTCATATTGTTACACGACCTCATTTTTTTTCATATTGGAGTTTTTTCTTAAAGACATTCAATGGAAGAAGATCTGGCTAATGTTTAACTGATACCTAATTACTAATAAAGCTATTAAAGTGTCATATAAGCTTATACATACCACTTCTGTCGGAACAAAACCTCATATCTCCATTTATGTTGTTTTTCAGTTTTTGACATACTTTGAAAATGCCTGTTGCCCTTTACATTGTGTGTAAATTTCATGATGAATGGACCAAAAGAAATGACCCAAAATGACTTGGAAAGATGTCGGGTTCCATTGACTTACATAAAAGTAAAGTAGTTTTTTCCTTTTCTTGTTATCAACAAGGTTTTCTTCCAACAACAGCGATATATAATCTACCCAGTTAAAATTACTTAGCATGATACTGAAACACCTTGTTCATTCTGTAGCAGCTGCCCAGAGACATTCACTTGGTCTGGCATTGTCAATACTCACACTCGAAAGGTCAAGTGTTTTTGTTTGTTTGTTTGTTGTTGTTGTTTTTTTTTTTATTTTGTCCAGCATTGATAATTTGCTGTTTTTTCCATCCTTGCAAGCATAACATATAACATGTCCACAGTGTTACACAAAATAGTTTGAGGAAGCAATTTTTTTCTAGATTCATAGAAAAATCTTGTTTTATTGTTGAAAAACTGATATTAGAAGATATAACTTTAAAACAGGCAGCGTGACAGTCAGTTTTTTTCTCCATAGATTTAAGCAATATGCACTTAAAACTATGGAGAAAAATCCTGTGATATCTTAAAATTTCTAACTCTTTTATGTAATATAAAAGCTAAGTATTTTCCTCAGCTGACACTGTATAGCTGTATAGAACCCGGTCCAGTGTCCAGTGTGGGTCACAGTTAAAAGTTCATTTGTAATGCACCATAAAAACGGTGTACAATTACACATGCATTAAATACATCAGACATGCATTAACAGCTCAGCAACCCAAAGTGTGTGTGCTGATGGCTATTTTGGAAGCAATTCAGCTGTTAAGCACATTAAGTATTTCTGTGTGGGTGTATTTAGCCTTCTATTTGTGTACAAGTGCCCCAGCTGCCCTGAGCCAAACCTTTATATAAACCAACTCTACTCGGTCTGAGAAGTTCAACTACATTTTTTAGCAACCCTGACAATTCTTAGACACAAAATACCTTATCAGTGATATATAATCTCACTGATATTTTACATGGTAAGTGTTCAAGTCATCAACACACAATAGCACATAGACAATCAGTCTGAATTCACTGTTTGTACTACTTGAAATATATATTTATCATTTAAAGGGGAATTCCACCATTTTTTTACATTTCTGATTAAGTTAAAGTTGTAGACAGGGTCACTCAGAGTGGTTTGGTGTGAAATGCTCTGTTCTAGAGTCCGAATTTTTCACAGTGGTGGTGATAGGAACCAGACGTTGACCTCTATAAGCATGTAGGGATACATGTAGGGTGCTGTGAGGCAAAATAGTCCCCCAAAAAAACTTTACCATCAGCAGTATTCCATTTAAAACTCAGCAGACACATGTAGGTTCACTGGTGGTTTTGGATAGTGAATAAAATGTCTATATCTGTGTTGTAGTCATGGTGACCCCTGGTTCCTATCACCACCACTGTAAAGAAATCGAGTCTGAATTTTGAAGATGTTTTGAAGAAACAACTGCATTCATGAGTTTAAACAAATAATCGAACATTTCATTTTGTGACTAGCAAAACAATCATAACACTACTGAAACTCAAAATTACCAAATGTTTCAGTAGTGACAGTTTCATTTTAGTTCATTTTGAGCAGAACTAAAAAAAATGCTAGCCAGTATATTACCAGCAAAACAGCTTTGAACATCTGTACATACATACAATCATAATATTTTTATTAAAACACAAAAAAGTTCACTTAATTGCAGAAGAGGTGTTTCAGAAGTGACAATTTGTAATGTTCCACACAGATTGTAAGACTTTGGCACACATTTCTTCAAAACAGTGGGATCTAACTGCTCACCATGTGGTCATGAGGGACAGGGATGCAGCCTCACTTCCTGCTCTAAACTGCAGGGGTGTTTTTTCACAAGTGTGCGGTTAGGGTTTGAGACGGACACCTCCCAATAGAAAGTACCCTAAAAATGATGATTCTTTTTTGGTATTTAGCTTATTACTATCTCTATTAATGCCTTTGATTTAAATAGATCAGAACATAATCATTGTAAACATCTAAAATCTGAATACTTCTTTGTTTGTTTATATATATTTACTTTT